CTCTCTCTGCCTCTCTATAACTCTGTCTTTCAAATAAATAAATAAATAATTTTTAAAGGACCTGGACCATCTTCCACTGCTTTTCCAGGCCATAGCAGAGAGCTGGATCGGAATAGGAGCAGCCGGGACCCGAATTGGTGTCCATATGGGATGCCAGATTGCACCACAGGTGGAGGCTTAGCCTACTACGCCACAGCGCCGGCCCCGGAAATGTTCTTAACTTCCAGCCATAGGAGAAATTTCTTGAAACAGACACTAGTGTGGTAATCATTACCATCATTTGACAAAAGCTTCAGGATATTGCATTTTTTATTGGATTGGTGGATTGTGGTGCCATGTAGTTATTAAACTTTTTTTTTTTTTTTTGACAGGCAGAGTGGACAGTGAGAGAGAGACAGAGAGAAAGGTCTTCCTTTTCTGTTGGTTCACCCCTCAGTGGCCGCTGAAGCCAGTCTGCTATGGCTGGTGCACTGCGCTGATCCGAAGGCAGGAGCCAGGTGCTTCCCCTGGTCTCCCCTGCGGGTACAGGGCCCAAGGACTTGGGCCATCCCCCACTGCCCTCCCTGGCCACAGCAGAGAGCTGGCCTGGAAGAGAAGCAACCAGGACAGAATCCGGTGCCCCGACTGGGACTAGAACCAGGTGTGCCAGCGCCGCAAGGCGGAGGATTAGCCTATTGAGCTGCGGCGCCGCCATTAAACTTTTAAAAATATTCATTTATTTGAAAGGCAGAGAGATAGAGAAATAAAGAGATCTTCCATTCACTGGTTCACTCCTCAAATAGTCCAATAGCCAGGACTGGACCAGGCTGAAGCCAGGAGCCAGGTACTCCATTCAGGTCTTCCACATGGGTGCAGGGTCCCAAGGACTTGGGCCATCTTCCACTGCTTTCCCAGGCACATTAGCAGGGAGCTGGATTGGAAGTGGAGCCATGGGGACTCGAACCAGTGCTCCAGTACGGGGTGCCGCTGTCAGAAGTTACAGCTTAACCCACTGTACCGCAACTCTTACCCCTCATGCTTATTTTTTATTTATTTTATCTACTTGAAAGGCAGAGTGACAGAGAAAAAGAGAGACAGAGACAGAGATATCTTCCATCTGCTGGTTCACTCCCCAAATGTCCCCAGTAGCCAGGACAGGGCCAGGCCAAACCTAGGCACTCCAGGAAGTCCTCTGGGTCCCCACATCATGGGTGGCAGGAATCCAAATACTTGAGCCATCGCCCACGGCCTCCCAGGGTTTGTTAGCAGGAAGCTGCGTGGGAGGCGGAGGAGCCGGGACTAGCACTGCTGCTCTGATGTGGGATGCTGGTGTGGGCTGAACCCGCTGCGCCACAGTGCCTGCAGCCCACCCCGTGTGGCTGTTTTAGGCCAATGGCTGAACAAGTGATGTGTGTCATCACTTACCGTGTTTAATGTACACCTGAAATCCAGCCAGGCTCTTTCTTCTTCCTCCAAAGAGAGAGAGAGAGAGAGAGAGAGAGAGAGAGAGTGATCTCCTCTCCAATGGCTGTGATACGCTGGAACAAGGAAATTTGGTGGAAGCCAGCAGAGTGGGTCCTGGTGCCTGAGGCGGATCCTGTACCAAGTGAACTTGCAGCCCCAGGAGGAAGCTGTTGGAACATGGGGTGTTAGGACGGGGTGGGAGCTTGCAAAAGTTGGCTGAAAGTTGAGAATTTAGTTGAGAGACCAAGCCCATTAGAACTCAGCTTTTGGTAAGGATGAATTCAAGGGTATAGCACTAGGTAAGTCATAACTCACTGTTAACTGCTGACAGGATTAACATACGACCAGAAAATCTTCTTGGGTGAACAGAAGTCTTGGTGAAAGAGAGGGGGGTGACAAGATTTACCAACAGGCTTTAAGGTAGCTGAAATGAAAGAGAAGAAGGAGGAGGAGGAGAAGAAGGAGAAGGAAGGGGAGGGGGAGAGGGAGAGGGGGAGGAGGCGGGGGGGAGGAGGAGAAGGGAGGAGGAAGGGGAGAGGAGGAGGAGGAAGCGGGGAGGAGGAGGACTAGGACAGCAGTGGGGGCCGATCTTGAGCAGAGCTGTGGAGGTGGGGTTTTTCTTTCCTTGCACGTGGGGTTTACTGGACACCTATGGCAATCTTTCAGTCTTACACTCTGGGGGCCAGAAAGCCAGCTGGGAAAACTGGTCGCAAAGAGGCCCATGGGAAGGAGCTGCCTCCCTGGAGTGGGGAGACTGGAGCCACAGAGAATGGTTTGGGGACCCCCCCCCACAAAGAGCTGATCAGGTGCTATGGAAGGAATCTGTCCCCCCTACAACATAGACCCTTGCCCTGTCTTCCCGCCGGGTGTTAGAAGCTGACACAGCCCAGTGATTTCTGTGTTTCCCCATCCCAGGAGCCCTGAAGCTGCTCGGTCCTGGTTGCACACTGGGAATCCGCAGGGTGCTTATCCTGCCTGGGGTTCCCGTGCGTGGTTCCTGCGCAGCTCCCCTGGACGCCCAGTCATCTACCCTACGACCTCCCAGCAGCCACTGGACGCTGGGAACCAAGACCCGTGCTGCTGGGGCAGGAGAGCGCTTGGGGTGAGCACGCTTCCCTCCCCCGCTCCAGGGGCTGAGCCCTGAGTTCTGTGGGTGACTTCACAATGCCCACGCTGGTTCCCAGCCTCCTCTGGAGCCCTCGGTCCACCATGATGGCCTCCCTGTGGCTGGTTAGCCTTTCTTTCCCCTCCCTGTGGGCGCAGGCTCTCATCGGCTTGCTCGTACAAGAGTCTCTGCCAGCGCGCCCTGCTCTCGGGCAACGAGGCGGTCCTGCAGTGTGACCACCCCGGGGCTGTCTGGCACTTCACTTCCTTCCTAGAAGACACCCCCTCCCTGCTCCACTCAACGGCCAACGTGAAGAAATTCCCGGGCGGCAGCCTCCAGCTGAGCCACCCCCAGCCGGCGCAGACTGGCCTCTACAGCTGCCAGGACGGCAAAGGCAGCCTGGTGGTGGAATACGAGATAGACTTCCAGGACGTGACCGCCCTGCACGTCACTCACAGAGACCTGGGCCAAGAGCCCCTGGCCAACGAGACCCTGAACCTGGGCGGGGCGGTGCTTGTCTACACACGCTGGGAGCCCTGGCAGGACTGTAACCGCTGCGGGGCGCCAGGCGAGCGCAAGCGCCTGGGCTTCTGCTACGTCGAGGACTCGCCGGAGGAGTCCATGCCCTGCTGGCTGTATCTGCGAGAGCTGCGAGCGCCCTACGGCCGCATGCAGCCAGAGCTGCAGGTGGAAGCCTGCCTCGTCCCCTGCGATGGCGCCAGCACGAAAACCACACAGCCCTACTTCATCTTTGACGCGCACCAGCTGGGCAAGTGGACCAGCCACGTGTGGCTCACCTGCCCCTTTGCCTCGGTCTACAGGTGATCCGCTGCCTTGGTGCCCACCTGCGTTGGGGGTTAAGGGGTCTCTTCACTGGCTTGTGCTTTAGGCAGGAATCCCCTCCCACCCACCCCACCCACCGCCTCTGAGCTGATCCTGCACGGGTGACGCTGGGGACACAGTGGTGACTAACGGGGACCTCCGTGCTGCCCACACAGCTCCTGATAGAATGAGGCACTCAAGCCCACACCAAGGCAGACGCGAGCGTGATTTCTGTCTCCTGTGCGGACCCTGGTAGGCACATTTCATCCATCCGTGCAGCAATGCCACACACGGCATCTTAATTGTTAGACTTTTTAGTAAGTCATGATATCTGGTAGTAGGTGTTTTTCCACGCTGTTCTGTGAGATTGGCTTGGTTATTTCTTGTCCCTTTGTATAAACATTTTTTAAAGATTTTTTATTTATTTATTTGAGAGGTAGCGTTACAGACAGTGAGAGGAAGAGACAGAGAAAGGTCTTCCTTCCGTTGATTCACTCCCCAAATGGCCGCAATGGCCAGAGCTGCGCTGATCCGAAGCCAGGAGCCAGGAAGCTTCTTCCCGCTCTCCCACGTGGGTGCAGGGACCCAAGGACTTGGGCTGTCTTCTACTGCTTTCCTAGGCCATAGCAGAGAGCTGGATTGGAAGAGGAGCAGCCGGGACTAGAACTGGCGCCCATATGGGATGCTGGCACCGCAGGCGAGGATTAACCTACCGCGTCACAGCACCGGCCCCTGTATAAACATTTTTGAATCAGGGCTGGTGTTGTGGTACAGTAAGTTAAGCCACTGCCTGTGGCGCCAGCACCTCATATGAGCACAGGCAGGGGCCCAGGCACATGGGCCGTCCTCTGCTGCTTTCCAGGCATTTTAACAGGGAGCTGGGTCAGAGGCAGAGCAGCGGGGACACGAAGTGGTGCGGTTTAACCCCCTAGGTCACAACACTGGCGCCTGCACCTCTATTTTCCATGTCACTGGTTTCTCTCTGTTATTATTTATTTTTTTCTGTATTCTTTGGGTTTAGCTTGCTGTTTCTCTTCCTAACTTTTTGAGATGCTCAAATTTTCATCCTTTACCCCCCAAATTACAAGTTAGGCTGTAACTTCTACCTAAGCATAACTCGCCAGCATCTGACAAGACCTAGAGTTATACTTCCATCTTCAGTGAAAAACACTTTCCATTTTCAACTGTGCAGTCTCCTCTAATGCTTTGTTTATTTAGACATTCCATTGCCTACTTGCAAATATCTGGGAAAGTTCCTGTGGTTTGTCATTGTTAATGTAGCTGAATCCCACGAACCACAATGTATGATTCAATTCCTTTAGCATGTGATACAGAATTCTCGTTTGGAAGTTAATTTCTGTTAATGCTTTGAAGGTGGCATTCAGTTGTTTTCTAGCTTCCATTAGAAGTCAAATGAAAAGTCCTAAGTTCATTGTTTTGGATGTGACTGTGTTTTTCTCCAGCATCTTGAAGGCTTCCTCTTCAGTGTTTAGCAGCATTTTACTGTAAGTGGCGTTTCTTCATCCTGGGTGGGATGCAGAAACCTTGAATTTGTAGCTTAATGTCTTTCATCGGTTTGGGAAAGTATTCAGATGTTACTTGTGTTTCTATCTCTCCTTTTCTTCAGAGTCTCCACTTACAAGAATATTAGAACTTCTATTTACATTTCATTTGTCTCTGATGCTATTTTAACTCCTTTGCATGCTTCACTACAGATATTTTCATTTTTTAAGATTTATTTATTGAAAGAGTTACAGAGAGAGAGAGAGAGAGAGAGAGGTCTTCCATCCACTGGTTCACTCCCTAATTGGCCGCAACAGCTGGAGCTGTGCCGATCTGAAGCCAGGAGCCAGGAGCTTCTTCTGGGTCTCCCATGTGGGTGCAGAGGCCCAAGGACCTGTGCCATCTTCCACTGCTTTCCTAGGCCACAGCAGAGAGCTGGATCAGAAGCCAGGACTCAAAGAAGCGCCCATATGGGATGCCAGCACTACAGGTAGTGGCTTACCTGCTGCGCCACAGCGCCGGCCCAGATATTTTTCTACTGAGCCATCTTTCACTTTACTAATCCTCTCTTCCATTGTGTCTAATAGGGCGTTACTCCTAGTGAATTCTCAATTTCACAAATTTCATTAAATCTAGTATTTCCATTTGATTTTTCTTCTGTGTAAGTTCAAATTCCTCATCTTGTCATCTCTTAGCCATATGGACATAGTTATCTTTCATTTTGTATTTATTTATTTGAGAGATAGGGAGTGATCGAGAGAGAGAGTGAGTGCTTGCATCCACTGATCACTCTTCAAATGCCCACTGGGCCGAGCCAAGGCTGCGAAGCTCAGTCTGGGTCTCCTACCTTGGCAGCAGGAGCCCAATTCCTGGAGCCATCACTGCTGTCTCCCTGGAAACCTGGAGTCAGGAGCCAGAGAGGAACCTGACACACAGAGAGGAACCTAGGCACTCCCAATATGGGATGTGGGTGTCTTAACCATTGGACCAAATGAGTGTCGCAGTGCATCAGAGTTACCTTAACGTCTACACAAGGGCTGGTGTGGTACAAGCTTCTTAGTTTGTAGCAATTAGTAGAAGCCTCACATTGTTTAGAGAAATCTCCTAGGACGCCTCCTAGGTTTCACTCGGCCATCTCTGAGCTCAGCATTTTAAAAACACTCTGCAGAGGCCAATGGAAACATCTCTCCTCACCGACCCAAGGTCAAGGTCAGAAGTGGGCTTTCTCGCAGCCTCTTACCACCTAGGAGAGATTCTCTGGGCTGGGGAGGGAGGGAGAAGGAGAAGTGAGAGGTAGAGATCCCTTAGACTGGGGGACTTCCATGGGTCCTGGGAAGCAGGCTGGATGGTCGTGGAGGTCTGAGAGCAGGCGAGGGTGTGGTGGCGGCAGGACACCACAGAAGCCACTGCTCCAGGCCGGCGCCGCGGCTCACTAGGCTAATCCTCCGCCTTGCGGCGCCGGCACACCAGGTTCTAGTCCCGGTCAGGGCGCCGGATTCTGTCCCGGTTGTCCCTCTTCCAGGCCAGCTCTCTGCTGTGGCCAGGGAGTGCAGTGGAGGATGACCCAAGTACTTGGGCCCTGCACCCCATGGGAGACCAGGAAAAGCACCTGGCTCCTGCCATCGGATAAGCGCGGTGTGCCGGCCACAGCGCGCCTACCGCGGCGGCCATTGGAGGGTGAACCAACAGCAAAGGAAGACCTTTCTCTCTGTCTCTCTCTCTCACTGTCCACTCTGCCTGTCAAAAAAAAAAAAAAAAAAAAAAAAAAAAAGAAGAAGCCACTGCTCCTGAGAGAGCAAGCCAGCATGCAATGACGCCAAGCCCAGCCAGCAGAGGTCCCCACGGCGGGTGAGGGCCAACTGACAGAGCCCCCAGCCATGACGAACTTGGGGTTCTTAGCAAAAACCTAGGTGACTCTCTGACCTCCCCTTTCTCTCCCTTGTCCACGTCCTGTCAGTCGCACTCAGATGTCCTGACGTCAGGGTTTGGTCCTCTCTTGGAAATCTCCCCTCAGCTGGTCCGCTCGGCTCCTGGTCTCACACCACCCAGTGTGGGAGATGAGCCTGCCTCCCAGCGGGTGCTCCTGCTCACCCTTCCTCAGTGACTCACCGCCCCCCAGCAGCCTCTCTCCCACTTTCCCCATTTCCCTGCTGAGCAGTTATCACGGCAGTAAATTCTCCCCGCAGTAAATTCTCCCCACCCGTGCCCTGCAGACATGCACCTGTTCCTACTGGCCAAAGCTCATTGGTGACTGCAGAACCGGTCCCCACCCACGGCGCTTCCATGGTCATTGGCCGACAGGTGCTGCACGGCGAGAACCCTGACTCACCGACTGCACCCATTCCCGGGCGAGGATGAGCGAGGCAGCACTCGCCGTCTGTTCTACTCTCCTCCTGCTACCATGCTGCCTTTTCCTGGTCTACTGAGCCCCGCACGTCCCTGGTGCTTTCTGTTGCTGAATGACAGCAAATCAGGCCTCCGCAAAGTGGTTCCTCATTCCAGAACTGAGCAAATAAAAGGGATTGGGAAGGGGGCAACTGAGAAAATAGGTATTTAAGCTGAGTTGCGTCATGCAGCAGGGGAAGAGGCAGGGGCTAGCATGTGCAAAAGTCCTGAGGCAAGAGCCCCGCCCCCACGTGACAAGTTCAAGGAATCGCGAGGACGCCAGCATAGCTGGAGAGGAGTGGTTGGAGGGAGAGGGTTTCAGGTCAGAACAGTAACTAAGGAGTTTGCATTCACTGCTGTATCCGCAGTACCAATGCACCAATGTCTGGGAGGTGTTCAGAGAAAGCGTGTTGAATCTTGGTGTGCAATGCTTTCATGTCCTCGGGTCATCTCTGGGAATGTAGAACTGTCCCTTGGGGAGGCAGAAGGTGGCAGTTGGCAGAGAAAACCCTGAACAGACAAATCAGACTATCCCAGAAAAAAAAAATGGAACACATGGAATAGAAATCGCACTGGGCCACCAACTTGTCACAAAACTGGAGGAGACGGTGACCTCACAGCCCCACTTGGGAGCCAAGGCCTGAGTTCACTGGTGACCTCACAGAGCCCAGAGTGCTGGCCGGCCCCTGCCACGGCCTCAGTGCACCATGCTGACCACCTGGCACCTGCTGCTCGGATTCACTGTCCCGGTGCTGGGGCACTATGTCTCTGTCACCTGCCCGCCCGGCAAGGTGTGCCAGCAGGCCCTGCTGTCCGGCAGCACTGTCCTCCTGCACTGTAACATCTCCGGAGCGCGATGGTACCACTTCTTCATGCAGCATGACCAGTGGTCCTCCAACGTCTCCATCATTCCCAATGTGAACGTCATGCCCGGGGGCAGCATTGTCATTACCAAGGCCCTGCCCTCCCAGACAGGCATCTACTACTGCAGGGACAAGAACAACAGACAAGTGACGCGGTATGAGATCGACTTCCAGGATGTCTCCAAACTGCATCTGACACACAGAGGCCTGGGTCAGAGGCCCCTGCAGAACGAGACCCTGATCCTGGGCCAC